AAAAAAAAAAAAAAAAAAAACCGTAAATAAAAAGACCCCCCCCAACTCCTAGCTTACCCTGCACCAGAAGTTCTCCAAGTTCTCAGCAAAAAGGATTCCCTGCCCACTTCTAAACACCGAGCCCCCCCAATCTACACCCAGGATCTGTTTAGCTCCCAACTTTCCCTCCTATGTCATCCTCTAGCTTCCTCCTCAAACCAGGTTCCTCTCTTTGTTTTATAAGTTTTCTCTTTTTTTAAGAGAAATTTTCACTATAAAGTGCGTGCACTCTCCAGAGAGACAGAGAGAAAGAGAGAAATCACCCCCAAGGGGGGATGGCCATGACTCAATCTCTTCTCCTTCATTCTCCTCTTGAGATCTTGGGCACACATGCACATGTGCCCGGCATGAGTTTTAAGTCTCTGGGCGTGGAGTCCAGCGAATAACCACTATGCCATCTGCTGGTCCCCCTCACTTTGTATACTTTCCCATCTCTCCCCAGGGACAATGCTAGGTACAGAGCAGCTGCAGAGATGCCGCATTCCAGCAGGAGCCCCATAGATGCTGCGTAACAGCAGGAACTGAGCTGCGCAGACCTGCATCACAGCAGGAGCTGCATAGAGGCTGCATTGCAGCAGGAGCTGAGCATAGACCTGCATCACAGCAGGAGCTCCATTATCGTGCTGATGCCTTCAGCAGCAGGCAGGGCCTGGAAGGACAGAGGCTCTGCACCTACACCCGGTGGGGGTACTCACTGGCCCTGACTGCCACCTCCCAGTATGGCACTGGGCAGTCTGCAGAGCACTGGACTTCAACTTCTCATCTGTAATGGGGGCTCTGGGAACCTCAGGGCCATAAGGTCAAGGTGAGGATGACCAAGACACCAGGCGTGTCACAGTATCTGACACCAGTGCCTGACATGCATATAGGCCTTGGATGCAGGCCTTCTTCCTCCAGGCTGGGGCTGAAAGAGGGGCTTGGGGTAGATATTAGAACCCCACAAACAGCTCAGGCTCCACGCTAGCCAGTGGCCAACGTCCCCAGCCCTCCACGCCGGGCTCAGAACAGTGATCAAAGAGCCAAACTGACTGGAATGTCACTTCCCTTGCTGGGAAATCACATAAAAACAGGGAGTGTGTTCTGCGCCTGAATGTCAGGAGGGAGGGGCTCCTGCCCTCTGGCAGGATGTCCAAGGATGGATGGCAGTATCAGGACAAGGACGGGAGGGGTAGGAGAAGCAGGACCCCTCCAAACCTGCCCCCACCAGCTGCCTTAAACTTGACAGAAACACGCTCTCACTGAAACCAGGGAGCCTCCGCTTGAAAGCCTTTGTCCTGTCTCAGTTGGAATAATTTTCCCTCTCTTTGGCAAGCACCAGGGCCTTTAGCAAAAAAACAATACTCATTTTTAAAAGATAAACAGGAACCACAGAACCCCAGCCAGGGCACAGCTTCTGGAGACAGCTCAGGCCCCCTCCCCACTGGCAGCCCACTCTAGACCCCCAGGGGATGTGAGGTCCAAGTACGTACATCCAGGAGTGTGCACTGCCTAGCTGCCCGTGACCCTGGACAACTTCCTTCGCCACGCTGAGCCTCGGTTTCTTCCTCGTAAAATGCCTATAACAACTCGCACCTACTGGAGTCCCTGCGAGGATTAAGTGAGGCGATGCATGTAGAGCAGCAGAACTAGCTTGGAGTGCACCCGTGATGCACGTCAGCTAAGTGTGAGTGCCTGCTTCCAGCACAGCCAGTACTGAGCACACAGCTCTCCTCAGTAGCCCTGCATTCCTACCACTAGAGGCCTTTGTCTTGTACATCACGGCACTTACCACCTCGGGCAAAGCCCAGTACATGTTAGGTACCCAGCAAAGTGGTGCTGATCAAAGCTAGCTCAGGGACCCAAGTCCCAGTGGTTGTCCCTGCTGAGATCGCACAGTGCTACTTGAATTTTCAGAATGTCAGACAGCTGCGGTCATGCTTAGCATTCTAAGCAAAGCGGAGAAAAATGCTTTCTTTGCTGGGATCAGCAATCGGTGGCAGTGGAGGAGTGTGGCTGAGGGAGGTCTTGCAGCTCCACCACTCATCCGGGCAGTCTGTGAGTGCCTGTTTCTCTGCGTGCTAGACCCTACCTGCCTGGCCCAGGTCCCAGCTCACCTTGGAGGCAGCCCAGTCCATCCAGCCCTCTGCACAAGGGTTCACGTTGATGAGGACGAGGCCTTCCACCATCTCGGGGTTGTTCAGCTGCGATTCAAGACACGAGGTGAGACAGACAACCAGCGGACTTCACAGACCTCCCTGGGCCTCAGCCGGATGGGTGTAATGTACCATCATAACCAGACGGGACACAAATGCCCTCCCACCATGGCATAACGCTCAGTCACTTCTAGGAAACAGGTGTATACACTCACACCTAGGAGATGGTCAAGATCTTTTTTCTTTTCCTTTTTTTAATAAATCTACTCAGAGCCTAGATGGCCAGATCATCCTGTGTAGTCTGTATTTCTAACTTCGGCAAAAGCCAGCAAATCACAGGCAGTCAACATAGCCATGGGTGAATAAAATGAATTCTGTTACATCTCTAATCAATTTTTTTTGTAAGAATAGGAAAAATCCTGTAGCACCTGACTTGAGCCCACAATAGCAACGTGACGACTGGAAGCTGGAAAGGCATGGAGAGCAACTGAAGACCAGAGACGGTGTGGGAGGGGGTGGACAATGGGGGTAGGGTGGGAAGGAGGGAAGCAAGGGGAATAAAACAGCTAAACCTTCTTTAAAAGCAGTAACTGTGAAACCTGCCATGTTAACTCATGTGTCTCTGCTTCTACTTTGGAAGCAGATAAGGCCAGCTCGGGCGCACAGGCCAAGCCTGGCTCAGGAGATACCACATCCAGATGGTAGGCTGCGGGTCTGGTTTCCGGTAGACCTGTCTGCCCTGGTGTGTGTCCCCCTGCCACTGGCTGGCTGGGCTGTGGGGCATAACGGTGTGTGATCCTGTCGAGGGTGTCTGTCTTTGGCGTTCTCTCTCTCTTTCATTCTCTCTCCCTTTCATTCTCTCTCTCTCATTCTCTCTCTCTCTCACTCTGTCTCTTTCTCACTATCAGTCAGGATCCCTGAGGCATAACTACCGTGTGGCTGTTACCAAGTGCTGCAGCAATGCGAAGGAGCGCGGCTGATGGCAAAAGCATGTGTCCAGGACAGTATTCCAGAAAGAGAAAGGAACACCCTAAGAACGTCCGTGAGCACACTCACACACTTGCGCACGTGTAACTGGAGCACACGCCACCTGTCTGCCCGGTTGTGTGCCCCCCTGCCACTGGCTGGCTGGGCTGTGGGGCATAACGGTGTGTGATCCTGTCGAGGGTGTCTGTCTTTAATACTTACTCTCTCTTTCATTCTCTCTCCCTTTCATTCTCTCTCTCTCATTCTCTCTCTCTCTCACTCTGTCTCTTTCTCACTATCAGTCAGGATCCCTGAGGCATAACTACCGTGTGGCTGTTACCAAGTGCTGCAGCAATGCGAAGGAGCGCGGCTGATGGCAAAAGCATGTGTCCAGGACAGTATTCCAGAAAGAGAAAGGAACACCCTAAGAACGTCCGTGAGCACACTCACACACTTGCGCACGTGTAACTGGAGCACACGCCACAAGGTTAACACTGGTTTTCCATTCACAAATGCAATTAGGGGTCATTTCTTTTCCCCTTTTGGGCTTTCAGCTGCTTTTCCAAATGTCTTCCTTCATCTTGGATTAATTTGACTTAAATTTTTGAAAAATGCCAAAGAACTCACAGCAAATCGAGTTAGGATGTAGGCACCTGCTCCTGTTCCCATGCCGATCACACTTTTCAGCCTGAACGTAGAAATAAAACATCATGTCACAGGAAGAAAGAGTGACAGAAGCTCAAAGAACCCACTTAGAACCTGCCCCAATCCTTATCTCCAAAGGGCCTCGACCCCCTCCATGGCTGTCCTGGTTCTGAGGGTGTCCAGGAAGCTAGACAAAGTGGGGGCTCATGCTGTGACATGCCCTGAGGATCCTTCATGATGGGACAGAGACCATGGCCCTGGAGAGCCTCACCCCTGTCCCTTCCTTCACTCCTGCTGCCACCCGAGCTCCGAGAGACCGTCTGACATTTACAGGAAGGTCCATAAGGCGTGGACTCTTATGAACTTCCCACTACTAAGCTTATTTTGGATTCTAAAACTTGGAATGAAAACAAACTGGGCAAGAGACTAGCAGTAATATCATATTAAAGGCTCAAGTGAAAAGAGGAGCACTGTAAAAAGGAGAGAGAAGCTAAGGTCTCAGGCAGCCCTGTTCCAGAATGTTCTATGGAAGGTGAAGGTAATGAAAGAACAAGAGATATGTATGGGTCATATGTAGTCCTAATCTTTAAATTCTAACCTAATTTAAATTCACTCTTACCCAAACTGGTGCAGGACTCCGGGAAGCATTTCGGCCAGCTGGTCCATTGAGGGGTACATGTACCTGGGGAAGGCACAGGGAGGCAGTTAGTGAGAGTCCCGGTCCTGGCAGTAGTGAGTGTTCTAGCAGGGGTGCGTTGAGACCAGGGGCCATACAACAGCCCACCCATGCACCTCATTCCAAGAACCCCACACCACCCCCTGATCTTCAGGTGCTTACCATGTATGCCCCAGGCCCAGGTATGCATTTTTATGGGCAATATTAGCTCATTAAATCCTCACAATGAGTTCACCAGGTCTCAATGATTTTCCCCAACATTGAGGTAATAAAAATACGGAGGCTGGGACATAAGCCACTTAACCTCACAAGACCTACTGATTAGCTGAAAAGGGTGACCTCTGTTTGGCTTTGGGTCAAGGATGTGGGGGGAATGAGGCTGACACTACTTAGTAGACATTTCATGGCTCCAACCTTAGGGCAGAGCAGTTAGAACAGGCATGAATGAATCCCAGCAACCAAGTGACTATCAAATCCTACACACGCCAGGCTCTTGGTGAGGCAATGGAGGCCATCTGAGCGAGGCTGTGTTCTGCCCAGGAGAGGAGGGGTGGTGAGTCAACGGGAAGTGAGTGTGGATCACAACAAATTACAGGACGCCGAGGCAGGGAGGCTGAGGCAGAAAGAGCAAGTGGTCGGGGAGTCGGAGGCACAGGGAGCCTGATGAGGAAAGCATAAGGAATATGCCGGGCAGGGAGCCAACATGTGTACAAGCCCTGGAAGGAGCCAGAAATGGCCCAGGTGGTACAGCTCTGCCTCTATGGAGACAATGACTAGGAGGGAGGAGGGGACCCTTGGGGACATCAGGGTCTCAGACACTGACCTCATTCAGAAATGGCCAAGGCTCCACTTCACTTAGAGCCAGCAGCCTCTTGGAAGCCACTTAACTTCGGGGTTTGTTTCTCCCCTGCTCCCAGGGGTGGGTGCACAGGGAGGGGGGAGTCTGCTCAGACAGCCCTTCCTGAATGGGAAGCAGACTCCAGGGTTTGGAAAAGCCCAGCCAGGGGCCATCCTGCTTTACTAACTCAAGATGAAGGGAGTTCCCCCAGGAGGGCCTGGGAGACCGCCCACCCCCACTCTAACTACAGGAGGCAGACACCAACCCAGTCCTGTTCAGACCCGGGTTCCCACCAAATGCCCTCTGTAATCACCTGGTAAACCGAGGAAAACACCCTGGCCTTGACCAGATCAACTGGAGGTGGGGCCCAGACCTCAGAGTATTTTTAAAACGTCCCCAAGAGGAGCTAAGAGACTACTGTAGCCCAAGATTTCCTTTTAATTGACGGGGAGCATGTGTGCTCACCTGAGAAAGACAGCTTCACTTAGAGCCAGCAGCCTCTTGGAAGCCACTTAACTTCGGGGTTTGTTTCTCCCCTGCTCCCAGGGGTGGGTGCACAGGGAGGGGGGAGTCTGCTCAGACAGCCCTTCCTGAATGGGAAGCAGACTCCAGGGTTTGGAAAAGCCCAGCCAGGGGCCATCCTGCTTTACTAACTCAAGATGAAGGGAGTTCCCCCAGGAGGGCCTGGGAGACCGCCCACCCCCACTCTAACTACAGGAGGCAGACACCAACCCAGTCCTGTTCAGACCCGGGTTCCCACCAAATGCCCTCTGTAATCACCTGGTAAACCGAGGAAAACACCCTGGCCTTGACCAGATCAACTGGAGGTGGGGCCCAGACCTCAGAGTATTTTTAAAACGTCCCCAAGAGGAGCTAAGAGACTACTGTAACCCAAGATTTCCTTTTAATTGACGGGGAGCATGTGTGCTCACCTGAGAAAGACAGAGACAGAGACAGAGAATGGGAAAAAGCACCCCCCAATGGGGTGCGGTCATGGCACAATCATTTCTCCACCCTGTTGGGAAGTGCGGCAGGCATGCACATGCGTCTGACATGCTTTTCAAGCCCGTGGGGCTGGGATTTGAATTGCCTTGGGCTATGTGGGATCGGATTCCCTTAATCGTGAGGCTACAGGGCCGGCTCCATGCCAAGTTCTTCATAAACTCCTCACCCGGATTTCTCCATTCGCTCCCTGAAGACTGAGCGCACAAGTAATCTCACGGTTCAACCAAACAAAGGTTTACTGCAAGACCGCTGGTCTTATCTGCCGGCTAAAACTTAACCAAACCATTGTTTTAACAAGCTTTTAATTTTTGGCCCTGCCCCATGTAATTGGATGTCCCTTCTCTCTTTTCAGATAAAGGTTAATTATTAAGGATAATTCTGAGCACTAATAAAAAAGGAGGATCTGTTTGTAAGTGCCAAAGGGCCCCTTCTGAAAGCTGTACACCCCAGAATCTGCTCCCATCTGGTTGGATCATAGCTTTAGCTGTGGGTCGGGTAGGGGCATCTCTAAGGTCAGCCTCCCCCCTTGTGATACTAACTGGAGGGTCTGCAAGCCTGATCACAGCCACACAATGGGAAAGGGCAGGCCCCTGGCTGCACACTGAGGAGGGCCAGGGAGAGTAAACACCCTGAAAACAGGCGGCCTGATGTTCCAAAGAGAACTGAGTCTTTGAATCAGCAGACTGGGGTCAAAGCCCAACTTTCCTGACTCCCAACTATGCAATTGTGAGCAAGATAGTTAATGCCTCTCCACCTCAGTTCCTTCATCTAGAAAATGCAACTAGCTCCACCAGCTACACATAAGTAGCCATGAAAATTAAGTAAGAAAGAACTTTCTTTTTTAAGAGAGATTTTTGCCATAGAGTACATATGTTCCCTGGAAAGACAGAGAGAGACAGCGAGACAGAAAGTGAAAAAATCACCCCCAAGAGGGGATGGCCATGCCACAATCCTTCCTCTTCCATTCTCCTCTTAGGATCCTGGGCACACACATACATGCATCCAGCATGAGTTTAGTCACCGGGTCTGAGACTTGAACTGTGGTCGACTACATGGGAGTCAAGCAACATAACCATTATGTCATCTACTGGTCCCCCCAAAAAACATTTTTAATTAAAATGATTAAGCCTGGCCCATGTTACTTGCTCCATCACTGTGGTCTTCCTCTTTTTTCTTCCCACCCCTCTAGGTTTGTATCCTCACTCTGGTCTTGCTGAGGCGCTCTCCCCCATCAGTCCTGCACAGGGTGAGCAAGCACACTGTGATAAAGCCAGTCTGGCTGGGGACTGGGGACTGGGGACTGGGGGATGGTGTTTAATGGGCACAGAGTCTCAGTTTGCAATGATGAAAAGGTCCTGGAGGTGGATGATGGTGATGGCAACGTGTTTGATGCACTTACTGCCAGTGAACTGTATAGTACTTAATAATAATTAAGGGGCTAATTACATGTTATATGCATTCTATCACAATGAAAATGGTTAAAATTAAATGCTAGGTTTTCAGGAATTAAAGAATACAATTCTTAAAAACAAGCCAGCTGAATGGTCCTCCTCCTCCAGTCTCCACCTTGCAGAGCTCACAGGGCACGAGGCTCTCTCCTCTTACCCCAGGGGGAAGGATGCAGCACCGTCCTGCTGACCAGGGGCGTCCACGTGGCAGACAGCAAAGTGCTGGGTGATCTCCTGCATGTCCTCTGAGTTGAAGAGGGGGTTGTAGCAGGTTTTGTCTGGAGAGATGAAGAAGGAGTTAGAGGGAGGTTAGTTGGCTTGGTGGCAAAAACATTCTGTTCGTTTCATTCCTATTGAGCAGAGGGAAGGAACTCACAAGAAAGAATGCCTACCTTTCTGTTTCCCACTCCCACTTTACTCTGGTGGTAAAAGTAAGACTAGGTCATGGGACGGGGGAGGGTCCGGAGGTGGGATGGGCTGTAAACGCCACTGCACGTGCTGGTGGAAGAATCTGAAACTTGCAGTTGGCACTGGCAGAGGTTCCAGGCTCAGTGCCTGCTCCTCCTGCAGTGGGTGATGGCCATGATGGCACTGGCATGAGGTAGGACTGCTTCACAGACACCCCCTTTCTCTCTAGGTCTTCCAAATCCTCACATGTGGAATGGTATGGCCACAGCACACAACTTTCAAACAAGGAGGAGCACAGCAGATGAAGCACGGATCCTTTGCCAACTATGTGGCCTTGCTTGTGGCTGCTAATAACCTAAGGTATAAGGCAAAGATGGCCACTAGTCATCAGCCCTTCCCCTTTCCTCTCCTGGACTACATTTCCCAGGGTCCCTTGCAGTTAGAGGCAATCACGTGTTACGGGGCTGGCCAATAGCATGTGATACTCGCCATTTCTCCAAATACTTGCCATCAAGTTATCTAAGGTTCTCTCTTTCCCCATCTACCCGCTAGACACAGAGAAGCCAGGAGAAATCTCTGGGGTCCCAGAAATGGTTTCAGGGGAGTCTGGGTCCCTGAATCATCATGTGGTACATGTCTCACTGAATTAGTACATTAGTGAGAAATAAGGGAACATTGTGTTATGTCACCAAGATCTTGGGGTCTTTTGTTATACAGCATTTAGCCTACTATACTTTAATGAGCTGCTCTAAAATGAAGTTAATAGCCCAAAATGCAACTCCATTTCCTTGGACTCCATCAAGTGGGATATGATGAAGTCTATCAAAGCACCTAGCATGGGATGTGGTATGTTACGGGTGGCAGTGGGGGGGTGGGGGTGGGAAAGATGTGAGATGAAAGAGAAGTGAGAAGAAAGGAGAAAAGTGTCTTCAGGGACTGACATTGACCCCAGCTCCAAAGAAGTAACTAACAAGCTGTAGGAAATAGAATGTGAATAAGCAAACATCCATCAAAAAGCAGCAAGCATCGTGCTTGCAGTATCCAGGTTCACAAAGTAACCGAACCAGGAAGGTCTGTGGATATCTTCAGAATCAGCACAGAAAGCGTCTCTGTATTCTTTGTATTCCCAGCTATGAAAAGGGAAGGACCCACAGGCAGTAATACTTCCTGTAATCTTAAGAATTCACTGTCTAAATATTCACAGCAGTGTTATTCCTAATAGCCCAAAAGTGAAAACACCCCAGTGTCCATCAGTTAAAGAATGGATAAACAAAGCATAGCATATCCATACAATGGAATATCATTCCGCAAGGAAAGAATGAAGGTACATGCTATAACAGCCAGACTCTGAGAACATTATGAAGAAGGCGGTCACAAATCATTATATAAATGATTCCATTTATGTAAAAGTCAGAATAAGCAAATTCATGAAGTTGGGGGGAGTCGGTCACCAGGGATGTGGGTGATGGAAGACTGTGGAAGGGGAATAGATAGAGGGCATGGGGTTTCTTTGGGGGATGATAAAAATGTTCTAGAATTGCCCATGCTGCTGGCTGCACAACTCTGAAACTACTAAACTCACTGTGGATATGAATTTAAAAGCCACCGTCACAACCAGACAGCAAGTGGAGAGCCCCTGTGTTCCCAGCACCTTGGGCAAGCAGACAACTCCATTCTCCACAGCAGAACATTCCAGGCTTTTCCAGGCTGTGGCAAGAGTTCTTCCAAGAACAGCTTCAGGAAGTCCCAGAAAAAGGAGAAGCAGCCGCTCCCACAACCAGCCCTTCCCGCTGACTTTTTCTCCACCCCTTTAGAACTGGCTGCCCATGGATCCTTCAGTTCTGAAACTTACGGTTCATGCCGATGTCATGGTAAGTGAGGATGACAGGCCGGTTTCCTTTGGGGGTCCCACACAGCGTGACGTGAATGGAGCCATGTAAAGTCTCGATGTCCTGTTCCTGAGGAAAGATGGCAGACAGAGGGTCCATCATGTGGGGTTGGCGGTGTCCGTGTGGCTGTATTTGCTGACTACAGACACCCAGTGTATTTCCAAGTGCATTTGAGGAAGCTTCCAGCATGCTTCTCATGGGGCTGCCTGAGCCTTGGGTTTCTGGTGACAAATCACTCTGGCCAGTAACCACTCTGGGAGGGTGGGAAGGGGAAGGAGCCCCAATCCCAAGGCAGATGAAAGAGACCTGGTTCACCTGTGCCATTAACTGCACAAAACTCCAGGGAAAGGGCCAGCCCTGGTGACCTCTCTCTCTGCTTCCTCCATCTGGAAAATTGAGGCCATCAAGGTAGGAGCCTCCTTGACTCCCTGCTCCCACGCCTCACCTGACCCATAGGTTATTACACCTGGCATGGACATCGACATTTGGGGCTCCCTAGAATTCAGTCCTTTCTTCCAATTTCCTTAGGGACTACACCCACTCTTGCCCTCAGGCCTAGGAGATCTATGGATGCTGACCCGTCCCTCACAAGAGCGGATGAGGCATCAGAGTGGGACATGGAGCACCTCAGATGTACCAAACCTGCTCCCTGTCAGTGGCTACTGATAGCAGTAAGATCGGGAGAGAAAAGTGCCTCTCCAGAAGAGGGGAAGGCTTGGAACCCATTTAGGGTCCTGTGCACCTGAGCAAGTCGCCGTCCTCAGCTCTCATCTGGAAAATGGGAGCAAGCCTAGGATCTACCTACCTTCGAGGGGAGCTGGAGACACCCAGGCTCCCAGGCCCAAGAATGATGTGGCTATTAGGCACCTATGGTGTGCCAGGTTCCCTCAGTGGCTGGAAGGATGAATAGTTAAGAACTCTAGGCTTTGGGGTAGTGGGGCGGGCCTCAAGGGCTGCATATATTGTGGGAAACAGACAGGAAGAGGATTTAACCCTCCAGGGGACTGGTGGGAGGATGACCAGGGTAGACTCCTAAACCTCCTAAGGCCAGTGGCACTCTGTTTGAGGAACTGGTTCAAACACACTCTGCTCCAGGCCCCATCTCAGGGTATGAAATACCACATTGTGCTTTCAGCAAAAGCCGCCCCCTCCTCAGCCCAGGCCAGCCCTCTCTCTGAAGGCCCTCAAGCAAGCAGGTTCCCAAGCTGCCATAGCACCTTAGTGAACTGGGGAGAATGACCCACACTTCCCAGGATGTGGCGGTGTCACAAGGGGATGGTGTTGACATAAACAGACACAGTGTGGAGACGCCCCTGTGTAGAGAGGGCCCCGCCCCCAGCAGTGCCCTGTCCATCGCAGCACAGATTCCTCCTGACCCAATCTCACCTCTTCACCCAACCAAGAGCTTCTCTGGGACATGGCTCACCCATGCTCTGCCCCTCTCTCTTTC